TAGTATAATGCGTCAAGCGTGTCTTTGCATTGTTCTTACATATGCGTACAGTATTGAAATATGTATCAGAGACATTGTAGAACATACTTTTTTAAAAGAGTAACGAATGGAGTTTCTTGCTCGTTCTTCTCCATTCGAATCTACGTTTTGGAATGAGCACCTAGCTTCACCTAGCTTCACTGACGGACTGACTGACAGACTATTATTTATTTTGTATTTGTTGACGTTTCAAAAGTACCAAACTATGGTTTAATTGAAATAAATGCTTTGACTTTGACTTTGACTTTGAAACTTATAATTTGTAATTATAAGCCCAGGTTTTCTCATGATGTTTCCTTCACCGTTTGTTAGTGGTGTGGACAACACCTGGGCCCAGGAATCTATGGAGTCATTCCCTTCTCCTTTGTGTTTGTGTGTATGTATGTTTGATACTCAATCATGTGAAAACGGCTGAACGGATCGAGTTGAAATTTGTAACAGGGATAGATTATGGTCTGGAATAACACACAGGCTGCTTTTTTTTCCACGAGGACGCGGTCGAAGCCGCGGTCGGAAGCTAGTAACAGCATAAGCTTGAAATTATGATCGGGGTATGACCATATTACATAGGATTTAAAACATAGTAACTGACGAAAATATTACGGTTTTCTTTTATATATTTGATGGTTATATTCAGGACTTATTATAAATTCACGCCTTTACGCTAATATTCTGATCAATAGATAAACGAACCAGTGTTTATTAACTGTTCTAGCTTTATAGCACTCTATCCCTTTCTTTCCAATTCAAAATGCCATGTGAAAGAAGAAGACAAAAGCACAACCAAAATATACCAATGTTACTATGTAATTAGCCGAGGATTGAGTCATTGAAATACCTACCTAATTCACATTACAACAAAGTTTAAATTGAATGGGAACAACGAATGTTTTAGGTTTAGAAATCAACCCTTTTGTGACTAACCTAGTTAGAACTGGCCCACTTACAAATTGTGATTAAAATTACAAATTATTCTAGGCAAGAACTCAACTGTATGACTTCGAAATTCTACCTTTGTTCGTTTACCATTGTACTTTGAACGCTAACTTATTCATATTAAGACTTATAATTAAATGGACTCTTATTTACTTTGGGTCATTAGGTTGATGGACTATATTTATTATGTATTTATGTCTGGGACTTCATTAATCTAATGGTTCTCTTTAAGAAAATAAAAAGTCATCATTGTTATTAATCTTGTTATGAATTCATTATGTCAAATGTTTCTTTTAAAACATTGTTTTGTTTATAATGAAAATATCATGTCCTCTAGTTTTTTTATAGTTGCAAAATCTAAATATTTCGTCCCATATCGAACACAAAACTTTAAACATAACGTAACATCACGCCTTTTATCCCCGAAGCGGTAGACAGAGGTGCACACAGAAGTAACACCCACTTTTCACTATTTATGTTATGAGTCCTATGTAAAAGGGGGTGAGCCTATTGCCATATACCGGGCACATTTCCAGACTCCGTGCTAATAATGAGATTTTTTTACAAACCCAGTAATACTTTGCCCGACCCAGGGATCAAACCCGAGACCCCTTGCCCGGTAGTCGCACTTGCGACCACTCGGCCAACGAGGCAGTCAAAAATTTAAACTCATAACTTAAACTACTAAATCGATGAACTTACTAAAAAAAAAAACAAAAGAACACACACACATTCACAACCTACCCAACATCACAACAAAAATTACTTCAAGTCGACAGAATTCCTAATATTTAGTTAGACAATACTTCATAGTCATGACATGAGCAGCAGATAAAGAACGAAGCTAGCGTTGTGGAAACAAACTAGCAAAATAGCTGTATGGAAGTTTTCATTCACCTTTTTCAAAGCAGTACTGCCTGGTAGATTATACATATACCTAGGTTCAAACTAGGTTAGGTTACAGCCGTACTAATGAAACTAGATTGTTATTATAGTAACTATCGTGAGACAAACTAAATTAACTAAAAACTGCGGGTTACTCACGTGAATATATTGAGAAAAGCTCTACTAGTTTCGAACCTCATGAGGAAGAATCCCTCTGTGGTTCGAAACTAGTAGAGCTTTTCTCGGTATATTCATATGAATAACCCGCAGTTTTTAGTTAATAAAAGTAGATTGTTGGAAATCGTATGTAGGTTTTGTTTAGAAGTGTTTGACTGTCTTACATACATATATAACTTCACGCCTGTGTCCCATGGGGGTAGGCAGTGACTATTTTTTAAGAGGGGAAAATCATCGAATGACTTCTCCCGCCTGGGTGAGGCGGGAGGGGCTACTCCTGCACTTTGAGCCGGAGCCCCGGTATAGATTTTTAAGCCATTATTAAGACGATGATTCGCCAATGCGTCAGACCATTATTTATGTTTTTTACATATTTGTGATATGCCAGTAGGTACTCCTTCGAATGAATAAATAAATATAATTTTATATTTGATTGAAATAAACACAACTGCTTCGTTTGCCGAATGGTCGCAAGTGCAACTGCCGGGCAAAGTAATACTGGGTTTTTCAAAAATCTCAGTAGTAGCACGGGGTCTGGAATTGTGCCCGGTATATGACAATAGGCTCACCCCCTATTACATGAGACTCATAAAATAAATAGTGATATGTGGGTGTTACATTATACAGCGGCATTAAGTGCAGTAATGTGCACCTCTGCCTACCCCTTCGAGGGCATAAAGTCGTGATGATATGTTATGTTAAAATAAACACTCTACAAGTTATCTAATACAATTTCAACACTAAAATGAATTAACATAATTACAACAATTTGTATTAAATAAACATTCCGACTCCAATTAATTTGAAACCTAATTTAATCTAGATAATTTTAACGCAGGTACTAGTTTTACAAGCTCTGGTACTAATCTATACAGATAAATACCATTGGAGTGTCTGTTTGTGATATTAAAACAGGTAACCTCTTTATACTACCTACATGCTTATGAATATACATACGACACACATACCTAAATAACATGTTTTACAATTTTTGTCTGTCTGTCTGTCTGTCTGTCTGTCTGTTTGTACTGGTTAATCTCTGGAACGGCTGGCCCGATTTTTCCAGACTTTTATTGACAGATTGCTGAAGTACTAAGTAACATGGCTACTTTGCTATTATGAATTACGATTTGAATGAAAAAATAAATAAATATGTACAACTTAAGATACACTATCAATAAAGGACAAAACTTAAGATACATGAATGCTTCGCTGTCCGAGTGGTCGCAAGCGACTGCCGGGCTAGGGGTCTCCGATTTGATTCCCAGGTGGGCCGAAGTATTATTGAGTTTTTAAAAATTTTCAGTAGTAGCACGGAGTCTGGAATTGTGCCCGGTATATGGCAATAGGCTCACCCCCTATTACATGGGACTCATAACATAAATAGTGAAAAGTGGGCGTTATATTGTACAGTGGTAAAATGTACACCTCTGCCTACCCCTTCGGGGATAAAAGGCATGATGTTATGTAACTTAAGATATAGGCTACTTTTATTTGTTCTAAAATAATATTCTACGCGGACGAATTCGCGGGCAACAGCTACTTGTTAATAAAACCTTTTTAATGATTCATTAGACTTTAGACCTAGACAAAAGCCTAAACTATTTAATATTCCATCAAGAATTTTAGCCTAGGCAAAAGTAATTAGATAATTGTACGTATCTAATTTAATTAATTTAATCTAAAATGAGATTTAGGCATTTGTAATAAGAAGTGTATTTGCTAAATTGAATTTAAAGTTTTGAATTTTAATATAGTTGAGCGTGTGGGGTTGTATGTAATCCTAATCTCATTACTTTAAATTAATTAAAGAATTACATTTTAACATGTCGTGGTGGCCCGGAGGTTTATGACGCCCGCTTCATGCATGAGAATGCGGGTCGAAACCTACCAACGGCAAGCATCAATGTGACTTTTTCCGAGTTACATGTACTTTCTAAGATTATTCAGACACCACTGACAAACGGTGAAGGAAAAATTCGCGGGGAAACCTGAGCTTATAATTTCTAATTGTAAGTTTGAAAGCGTCAACCCTCAATGAGCAGGCGTGGTGATTAATGCTCAAACCTTCTCCGTGTGAGAAGAGGCTTTGTTCAACAGTGGGTACTGTTGATGATGGTGATGATGATGATGAATTTTACTTAACAAAATTGTTCCCAGTGATTCTTTTATACGGTTATCATTAGTGAAGTAAATGATAGTAATTTCTTCTACCTAAGCTAATTTTTGGTATTTTTTGCGTAAAATTTGAATACAATGGCTGGATAATAGAGTAATATTTTAGTATGCAATCTAGATTGAAATTGGTGACACTGTTGGTTAGTGTATTTCAATAACAACAATAAAATTATGGAAATAATCTTTATAGTAGTATAGATCGGTCTATAGTGAGTATAATTCTAAATGGTACACATATATGTACCACAAAAATTCAAAGTCGTACCTACATTTTTATCAACCTACACAAATATAAAGAAAATTAAAACATGAATTAAATGCTCATATGAATAGCCCATTAAGTATAAAGTAGTGCCTTTAATAAAAAAATCGTTTCTATTTAACTAATAACCATTTGGATGTAAAAAGATATACAAAATACCTAATTACATTACTGGCTTTGATCTTATATGATATGCGATACCTTTATAAAATAATTAATCATGAAACATCATGGTAGGGCTCTTACAACGAGCTTTTCAGCGTACACGCCTACAGGCAACAACATATTATATATTTCATGAAAGAAACCATTTGTTTTTTTGACCATTGAAACAAACCATTGAAACAAAGAAACAATCATCCAATTGTACAATTGTAGGAAAAATTAAATAGCTGTTTGTAGGAATTCCTATAGATTTTTTGGAATAAAATTAGTACGATAATCAAGGTGGTACTAAGAATCTTTGTAGGTCAAGTTGTTTTCGTTTGTATTGTAATTTGATTACGTATAAAATACTTAGTATTTAGCCAGTTTTTCACTGAAGAATTAGTTTGTAGAAATCCTCCAGTACGACGTATTATTTGTTACCTATAATTTCTTATTTTACGTCTACCACTAGTCAATCAACAAGCACGATTCTAGATTTTGTGAAGTCGAATCCACGTAATAGGTACGTCTCATAAATAATACCCACTGACTGTTTTATAATTCATACGTCAGTCGCTATTTCGACCAGTTACAAGCGTTAGCCAACTACGGAGCACGGCTTACGGTACGGAGAACATTCTTAGTACTAGTATAGAACATAGGTCATAACATAGGTCACACACAGACATAGGACAGTGATTTTCTCTAAATGTTGCCCCACACTATGATAGTACTGTCTTGTGTCATGTGTGCGCTTACAAACATACAATTCCATATACACATGACACCCAGAACAGTAACAACATTAAGGAATTAAGGGTTAACGAATTTTTTGAATATAAATAATAATATATAACCTATAATTACGAGTGTTAGTTAAAATAAGTTATAAGTTGTGCATGCTTTATTTATTAAGCAAAACATGATGATCCATTATATTGTAACTATTACATCCTTATATACCATGTTTTTATGCAAATAAATGTCTTTATTTTAAACAATATGTGGATTACACAAAGAGTTGTTCCGTGTTGAATATGTATCAATACATAGTATAAAACAAAGTCGCTTTCGCTGTATGTCCGTATGTATGCTTAGATCTTTAAAACTACGCAACGGATTTTGATGCGGTTTTTTTTAATAGATAGAGTGATTCTTAAGGAAGGTTTGTATGTATATACATATTGCACCCGTGCGAAGCCGGGGCGGGTCGCTAGTCTAATATAGAATAACACATCTGTACATATCATTTGTTTTTTAGCGTGAAATGGAGTTTTTTATTCTATTGTTCCTTTCTTTTCCGTGCAGGTATCGCACTCGCTACACGTAGAGTGGCAACTGGTTTCCCACCCAACGTACAACTTTACTTCAAATAACTCTTTAGATTCCAACTGTTCTAATTCCTCGAATTACATTATTACCAGGTACTACAAGCATTCTCAGTAAGCTTATGTTTTACCATGACAACCGAGTGACTAGTAAATAGCGATTCGATTCGAATGAATCGCATATTCTCGAATAAAGTGGCTTAATGGAATAACTAGAAACTTTCATTGGAACCTTGAATTGGAAATGGGTTAATGTTACGACTGCTTTGTTGAAGTAATGAGTTCGAGGTTACTTTAGTTCTGTACCTACTTAGTAGGTGATTTAAGTAAAATTTTAATATGATTTTGTCAGAATAGTCATTAAAAGAACAATTTATGCGACTTCGACTCTCAGATCAAAGAGTGATCTTTTTTGGCCTCTTTGTTTTTTTTTATGTTTAGTACAACATTGAGTTCAAAATGGAAATCGATCTCACTTCCATCTACCCAAGTTGCTTGACTCATATATTTTGATATTAAAGATAAATAAAAAAACATCGTATCACATTGCTTAACTCGTCGAGTACCGTCATTATAGACACAATTATACATAGAACAATAGGTTGCGGTCACCGGTGTCCTCGCGGTGTTTGACAGTTTAAGTCAAAAAATAATAATAAAACCATACCAACTTACCTTTAATAAAAACCGAAGCTTCAGCCTCGATTTCAGGGTAGCCATCCACGCTTGCCTTGCACAGGTATCGACCCGACGTATGGGTATCTAGTGTCAGAGTCAGGTTTGCTGTTCTGCCCACTCTCTGTTGACAAAAATGAGTTATTAGTATTATGATAAAAAATACATCTTTGTGATCATCGTCATTCTAACCCGAGACTGAAAACTGATTGACTATGAACCTCCATTACAAAAGGTTGGCTATAATTTCTCCGCTTCGATTTTTTATATTTGATAGGCCGTGATTTGACCACTATGTCGCCTGATGCTAAGCGACGGTGTGGTCTACGATAGAGCACATCGTCTCATAAGCAAACTTTCACTCGGGCCTTGAAGACACCCAGGTTATATATACCCTTCAGGAAATATAGAATCAGGCACATACGTTTGTCAGAAGCCTGGCTTGTTAGAAGTTGCAGTTTACAAATTTATCAGAAACTGTCAGAAAGAACAGCTATCTGGCTACATCTAGCTTTGTCTCTTAATCACCTCTGACGATACCAGTAGAGAGAGAAGGGAGGAGAATGGAGATGACATATGTACTCTACTCTTCCTATCTATGTCCTTCCGCTTCTGAAAATCGTTCCTTCTACATTCATGATATAACCTATAGAGGTAATAACACAAAATTTGAAACAAAGGTAGTATGAGAAAGAAACACAAGTAAAAAGTAATATAAATAATAAAACCATTAAAAGTCAAGACGAAACAAAAGAAACTATGTATTGTATCTACAAATAGAGCTATCTCAGGTCTTGTTAGGACAAATACTTTTTTAGATATGAGTGTGCGTAATAAGGCAGCCATATTTGACGCCCACGGTCCTAAAGTGGTGAGGTTGTTTTAACATAGTGTTGGACTTGGTGTTGTTAAAAATATATTTTCTTTTATATTTGATGGGCCGACGTTTGAACACTATATGGCTTGGTGTTAAGCGATAATGCGGTCTACGATGGAGCACTAAAATACGGTCCAAGGCCGGTAACGCACTTGTAACGCTTCTCTGTTCCAGGTGTCCATGGGCGATACCGATTGCTTACCATCAAGTCGTCCGTTTCGTCAATCCGTTTGCTCGTTTACCGACTTCGCCCATAAAAAATCTAGATTTGTACACACACTTAGATGGTCTCGCTTTATGTGATATTCGCATACATTCAACGTTCAGTTTACACTGGTCTTGTAAAGCGCATTGCGTGATATGTATGCAATGTTCATTAGCAATACGTAAAACCTCTAGCAAAATATTTGATAGGTACGGATACTTTAAGCAAATTTAATTGTATCCCTAATTAATAATTATATAATACTAGCGGACCCGACAGACGTTGTCCTGGATATCCACTTCAATGTATAAACAAAAATTCATTCAAATTAGTTGAGCCGTTTAGGATAACTAACCTAGACTCTAAACCATCCAGGGCACCACTCAAACGCGTACAGAAAAATTCATTTAAATCGTTTAGGAGGAGTTCAATGTCATACAACACGTACAGCAGAATTATTTTATATAATTATAAAGATTAATAAAAAATGTAAGCAAATACCCATGAATGTTATTACAATTGTTTACGAACACATAGCTAACAGAAAAAACAATACTTATTTGGCGAAATTCATACGAAGTAAATAAGACAAATGAAATAACTTCTGGAAGAGCCAAACAATTAGGAGTTAGCTATTGATACTTGTGTAGTTCTGTATTATATTGGAGATGTAATTGGTTTTGTTGTAGATGTTTTTGTTACTAAACTATTATATCACACGTTTGCTGATCGAGTAATATTTTTTGCAACTTCGGAGCCTCAAAAACCTTTCTAGGCATCACTCAAGTGTGGGAGAGGTATGCTTCAGCATTAATGGGCCGGCTCGGCTGCAGTGATATTACGGCCTCATAGAAAACCGACGTGAAACAACGCTTGCGTTGTGTTTCATCGCCTGAGTAAGACCTGTGGCCTAATTACCCCCTCTCCAATCTCCCCAATCCCCAAAACCTAAATAATCCTCTAATTCCTAATCCCCAAAAGCTTGAAAACGCACTTGTAACACCTCTGGTGTTTAAGTGTCTATAGGCGGCGCCGATTTCTTACCACAACGTGGTTATTCTGCTTGTTTATGGGCTTATTTTATAAAAAGAAAAACCAAACTGACCAAAGCTACGTAATTTAACCCGTTTCCGTTTACAACTGGACATTGAGCTCTCCTGTAGTACCTACGCCACTAAGATATATTAAGCTCAAATCACACTCTGGTCCAAAAAACTAATTATAATTAGTAAAATTAAAGTTTTGGCAAATATTGTGCTTACAATAACTCGATAGGTAAAAAAAGCTAATACAATTCGTTAAATTATTATTTATTTTATTTATAGTATCGTTATCATAGATAAGTAGATACAGTTTCGGTCCACACACTTTTGAAGAACTTATCGAAATAACTCCTTGTCAAAGTAGGCGTGACATAGCATCCTACAGTTTCAAAGAAAGATGGACGCTGTCTCGTTAAGTTAAATATGTCAAATTATAACATGCCTAGAGGGCGACACTGGAATTGACATTTGTTTCGAACTAAGAATTGAATGCCATAGAAACTTGTTTTGTAACCGATGTTTTAAAAATGTGTAATTAGTTACGCATTTTATTTCATGCTTTGGAGTCGTAGTATCTTGTTTCTTTAGTTTTAGATGGTATTGTTATCATATTGTTATTATTATCCAGTACTTTATCTAGTAGACTACCTCGTTGGCCGGACAAGGGGTCTCGGGGGTCGGGCAAAGTAATACTGAGTTTTTTTTTTCAGTGGTAGCACGGAGTGTGGAATTGTAACCGGTATATGGCAATAGGCTGGTCCATTAGATGAGACTAATAACATAAATAGTGAAAAGTGGGTGTTACATTGTACTGTGGCATTAAATGACGTAATGTGCACCTTTGCCTGCCCCTCCGGGGATAATAGGCGTGATGTTATGTTATGTTTGGCTACTATAATTGTTATCATGGTGTTATTGTTATCCAGTACTATAATTGCGATAGTGTGTCTATTGGTTTAATATCATAACCTCTAAACCGACTTTCATTAACTTTGACACAGATTTTTAAGGGTTTTTTTTTAAGGGGGGAAAATCATCGATTGACTGCTCCCGCCTGGGTGAGGCGGGAGGGAGTGTCAGACTCTTACTGACTAAAAACCACCCCGTTCCTTCTCCTGCACGTCGAGCCGGAGCCCCGGTTACCCGTTAGGTTCTCCGCAACACGAAATAGGTTTAAGCATTAATCGCCACACTTGCCCATTGAGGGTTGACACTTTCAAACTTATAATTAGAAATTATAAGACAAGGTTTCCTTACGATAATCTAAGAAAGTACGTATAACTCGGAAAAAGTCACATTGGTGCTTGCCGTTTACCAACGGCAACGGTTTCCGACCGATTTTCATGCATGAAGCGGGTATCATGAACCACCGGGCCACCACGACATATTAAAATGTAATTCTATAATTAGTTTAAAGTAATGAGATTAGAATTACATACAACCCTACACGCTCAACTATATTAAAATTCAAAACTTTAAATTCAATTTAGCAAATACACTTCTTATTACAAATGCCTAAATCTCATTTTAGATTAAATTAATTAAATTTGATACGTACAATTATCTAAAATCTTTATTATTTTTATATCTACAATTATAAAAATAACAGATTTTTAAGGGATAGACATAGAAATTAATACAATTAGGTTTGATGAGGTGAATGTGAAAGATTACTGCTAGTCAGCCTAAAGTTTGATAAAACAAAATTGTATAAATTGATTGTAGAATTTTTTTTATACCACGACGGTGGCAAAAAAGCACACCTCCCACCTGATGGTAAGCGGTTACCGTGGCGTATGTACGCCTGCAACACTTGGGGCATTACATGCGTCTTGCCGACCCTTAAGAAACCTATTCACTACGTTATACGTCTTGAAGAAAATATAGTGTTTTTAAAGAAACGAGACGTTTTGGCATTCTTTTTTTTTTGCTAGTGACAGTAGAAAACTACAACGGAATAGAAATTAAAAAAAAAACGAAATCTTATTCGCGACTTTTGACCCATACTTTAGGTAAATTATAGAAACAGATTTATAAGAAAAAACTTAGACACTTATAATGAAAAACCTAAATACCAAACCTCGAGCTAACGGTAAAAGTAAGGTAAAAAACTGTGAACACATCAAGTTATAACAACCAGTATAAACTGACCGCCCAATGTCTGGACAGATCATAGAAAGTGAGACCATGATACAGTGGTTATGTATAACTTAATTTGTTCCTCTGTGTACAATGGACACAAGTCATCAATTTCACAGCATCCAATGAAGTATGTATTACAAAAATTTATCGTGACGAACAAACTTACACGGTGTCTAACCGTTGCTTGGATTAATCATTTGTTTCGCTTCTCATTGGAAATTCTTTCGTTGATTCGTGGATTTTATGTTTCGTTGTATTGTTTTTTTAGGTTAAAATATTTGGCAGGCTTTGGTGTATGAAGAAGAAGTCGTTTATAAATTGTCTCGTCTATTTTATAGAATGAATTCATAATATTTAACTCGACGAGTACCGTCATTATAGACACAATTATAGAACAATAGGTTGCGGTCACCGGTGACCGCTTGGGGGTTTCGGGGATTGGGGAGACTGGAGAAGGGGTAAATTGGGCCTCCGGTAACCTCACTCACACGACGAAACACAACGCAAGCGTTGTTTCACGTTAGTTTTCTGTGAGGCCGTGGTATCACTCCGGTCAAGTCGGCCCATTCGTGGCGAAGTATGGCTCTCCCACACAAATTATGTATGTACTATAAATATAGCACTAAAACTAGGCAAGTCTATTTGAGATTAAATTATTTTTTCTTTTATTAGTATTGGGTAGGCTCTTGCTCGCTTTTTCGCAAGGGACAATCCGACCTACAATTAGAGTACCATAAGCAACCTATGGTATCCAAGTTGTAATATTCAATATAATCATTACCATGGATAGATATAAACAAAGCAAACATTAGTTTATACTTAATTTAGTTATTTATCTTTGTTTAAAAAAATACCTCAATAAAAAAGCAATCAGAATCATATAATATAAAATCATTGTCCAATTTTTTTCACACTCAGGTAATGTGACGTCACAACAATTTATCTAAATCCTACGCGTGTCATGACAATAGTATTTGTTTGGAAAACTCCAAATAATTCCAATTATTGTTATTGAATAATTTCCAGGAAGAACGATGGTAAAAATAGATGTTTCTGGAAAATATTGCGCACTCCTAAGGGCCATATTTCACTGGGCCACCATCCTTACTAATATTATAAATCGGAAAGTGAGTTTGTTTGTTTGTTTGTTCCGCTTTCACGCCATAACTACTAAACCGATTGCTTTAAATTTTTGCAGACGTAAAGTTGGAAGTCCGGATTAAATAATAGGGTACTTTTATCCCGGAAAAATTTGATATTCCCAAGGGAAAACAAAAGTATTTTTATAGATGGCGCTGTGTGTATTGGTATACGTCACATAGGCTACTTTTTATCCTTTTGTGACGCGAGCGAAGCCGCGGGTAAAAGCTAGTAAAACTATAAACAATATTCTTATATATATTTAATAAGATGACGACTTCTTTCTTGCCCATCGGTACATGATGATGTGCATAATGATGAATTCTATTCTCTAACTTGACTACGCTTAAGTCCAATTTCAATCATTCAATAAAAGAATACTTACAATCATCTGGTCCTCTTCATGATGTAGCCACCTGATCTCCGGAGGTGGGTATCCGTCGACATCACAACTGAGGGTCACCGTGGTACCTACTTCTGCTTCCACGTCCTTTGGTAGACTCTTGAAGGTTGGGGCATCTAAAAGAAATTGAATAAGTTACACGAATGTATAGATAGTAGTGTTTATTTTGATATGTCAAGGTTTGAAATATTAATATTTATGTAGCAAATAGGGTCCAATTCGGTTTTGTAAATGGACAAGGTCGAGATATTTCCCAATTAGTGGTATTGAACGGATCGCGCCACTGGATAAGGGCGACAAAAACAGTGATAGTGATATTTTTGCACCGTAATTGTGATATTTTTTTAATTTGTTACTTATTTGTAATTGCTTGTGTTAGAGTGCAAATAAATTTATTTTTCTTTCTTTGAGTAAAACGTCCGAAACGAAGTGATCCCACAGAGAACCAAAGTTACCAACATAGCCCAAAGGCAAATTAGTAAGCTGAAGTGGCAGTGGGCCGGTTACATTTGTCAAAGAACCGATAACCGTAGGAGTAAACGTGTTCTAGAGTGATGACCGCGTTTAGGCAAACGTAGTGTACTCAAGTGTAGGGTGCCCTCCAGCAAGGTGATTGGATGAGAAGAGCTCAAGATCGAGCTCAGTGGCGTGCCATTGGGCAGGCCTATGTCCAGCAGCGGACGAACGCGGGCTGATGATGATGGTGATGAGTTTTTACTCATCATTAAGTATTACTTTTAATAATACCCACTTAATTATACTACTAGTAATTACATGGGATTCACAATAACTAAGCTAATAGTGAATAATCAATTCCATAAATAGGGATGGTCTTCGGTGAAACGAAGGAAAAGTTAATAAAGGTTATATTAGAGGACATATCTATCAATAACTTAAAATACAACAGTTAAAGTAAAGGCAAAGATCAATGTTCGACAACCTTTAACATTTTAAAAGAAATATATAATTCAGTGGAACTTACAGGCTATTTCAAGAGTCTCTATTTCTTCACTGTTACCGACGTCATTGTACACGACGCATTTTATAGTAGCATCGTGATATTTTCTTGTAATATTGTAGATTTTCTGTTGAGAAAAAATTCTTAGTCTTTAGTAGTTCCATTTTATTTTTCCAGAGAGGCCCAATTACCTCAATCCCCAACGATCCTCAAACTCCTAATCCCCAAAAAGCCGGTAACGCACTTGTAACGCCTTTGGTGTTCTAGGTGTCCATGGGCGACGCCGATTGCTTACCATCAGGTGATCCGTCTGCTCGTTTACCGGCTTATTCGATAAAAAAAAAAAATATAAAATTGGTTGTGGTCTGGACATATTTTATTTGGGAGATATTATGGGGAGGGCAAAGTACTATCTGGAATTGTGCCCGGTATATGGCAATAGGCTCACCCTCTATTACATGTGACTCATAACATAAACAGTGAATAGTGGGTGTTACATTGTATAGTGGCATTAAGTGCCGTAATGTGCACCTCTACCTATCCCTTCGGGGATAAAAGGCGTGATGTTATGGTATGTATGTTGAATGTCAAAAAAAATATTTAGATTTTTTATATTAAACATAATATTTCTTTTATTTTTTGTTTTCATTATAGCTCAATTTCACTTATATTGTCTTTTGTAACTGACATAGGTTTTATAATTTACTGGATTTTCCACAAAATTCTAAATTTTCTAAGCAAACAATTTCTACTATTGTGAAATTCTTTGCTTATTTGTTTGGAATGACAATTTTTAACTATATACTTTTGTAATTATAAATATACTGATATTAACTCGCTTAATAATATAAATACTCACCAACTCAGTGGTATTGCCCTCAATAAGTTTTTCATTCAGAAACCACTTGTAAGTCAGATTCGATGGGTTTGCATCGGCTTTGCACGCTGTTAAATAGAAATTAATGTACCATTAAATTAATTATGAAAAGATAAAATGGAATAAAAATGAGCGTCATTTGTTTGAGTGGTTGTGTATGAGATAGATAAAGACCACATAGCACACGGCGCGACGTATTTTTGTACGTGTTTCAAGCGCGCGAATACGCGCTTCAAGCGCGCGAATACGCGCTTCATGCACGTGTGTTATCAATGCAAACACAACAATCAGTGTTTGCTGTGCCGAAAACACGCGCATAAACGCGCTTAAATTACGTGTATAAAATACGTCGTGTCCTATGGGCCTAAGGGCTTTTAGAGGATTTCTCTTATTCAATTCTACAATTTTTAAAACATTAAAAATGTAGACTCCTTTATAAGAATTAGGTATTGTTTTCTTCATTATGTTTTCATTTGGATCAACATCCATTATGGAGTTCACATGGGATTTTTTTGTTATAACTATGATTTTTATTCCATTTCATGTCTATTATTGCAATCTTACCTATAACCACATCTTCTCCTTCTGGAATCTTTCCATTGGCACCAGACTTGATGTACATCTTTACTTTTGGTGCGTATTTGACCTGTCAACAACAAGATTCATTAAAATAATATTCTATTACTGTACATTTTATAAGATGATTATACAGGCCCAAGTCATGGCTCACGCAATGTAGGTACAATTATAGAATGGTGAAATAGGGTACTATTCTATATTTTATTTTAATGTCCGTCTGGTAGATTATTTTAAAATCTTAGAGACTATTTTTTTCCTTTCGTATAAAATTCAATTATTTTGACGATATGCTGATTTGAAATATCCTGTGACGTCATGATTTACTACATTTTATACGGTAGCGTGACGTAACGACCTTCCACTCCTAAACCGTTTTATTTAAGTATAGTTTTCTTACACGACATAATAAAAAAATACGTGTATTATATTTTTCATTATCTAACTGACGGACTAATTACATTTTTAATTTTCATACACTGTCTACTACCCTATTGTATTGTATCTAACAATAGACTGATACTTAGTTAAAACTGGAAATGCTTACTAGAAGTATACATCTGTCTAACCTAATTAATAAATAACCTCATTATATTGGACATTAGACTCCTTAGTATCGATTATTGTTCTAGAGCATTTTTATTCTTCAATAGAAAGGGAGGTTATAAGACTTCAGGTCTCCCAATCATTGGTATGAAAAGAAAAGTGGGTATGAAGGCCGCTTCTTTAACGTATTTTAATAAGGACTCAAGTGAGTATGGTTTGCGGTTAAATAGAGGGCGCTAGAATCGATTTCAAGTGTTTGGTTGTGAATGAGAATGCCATTTATTTAATGATGTAGGTATATAATTCTGTTGATCTATAGATCTAGTAATTCAAATACTAATCAATGAGTCAGTCTAACGCCTGAATACTGAAAGGTCAATTTTAAATTGTTTAAATATTGTGCCATCTCTGTCATTTTAAACAGAATGTGCAGTGACGGAACTATAATTATTCTTGAGTAGCGTTTCAGTAATCAGGCATAAGTCTAATTTTGTCTTATTTAAACAGCAGTAAATCGAAAGTAAAAAGAGGGAGGGAGGAGATAATAGGAAAACGAGAAGAGAATATTTAAAGTAAAAGTTATACAAAAACGTTACATAACATAACATCACGCCTTTTAACCTCAAAGGTGTAGGTAGAAGTGCACATTACGGCACTTAATGCCATTGTACATTTGTACAATGTAACACCCACTTTTCACAATTTATGTTATGAGTCCCATGTAATAGAGGGTGGGCCTATTGCCATATACCGGGCATAATTCTAGGCCCGGCAACTACTGAGATTTTTTAAAGCCAAGTTCAACTTTGCCCGATCCGGGTAAATGAAGATCTAGCCCAGTAGTCTCACTTGCGACCACTCGGCCAAGGAGGCGGTTGGTCGGCGAAATCGTTAAAATTACAATAATCCAAATCGAAAGTTCAAGTCAAATGCAACACGATAGTTTAATGAAACCAACGTTTAATTACTCTACTCTAAACAAAACATTTATTTGGAATTTAACCTTTTGAGTATCGTCATTATAGACACATTTAAAGAACAATAGGTTGCGGTCACCGGTGTCAGTTTAAACTGTCAAACACCGCGAGGACACCGGTGACCGCAACCTATTGTTCTATAATTGTGTCTACAAAACCGGTACTCGACGAGTTAATTAAAACTAAAACTAAATCGAATTAAAGACCCATAATTCACAATTCAAACTATTTACTTTCTGCGTCTATAACAACTGAGTACTAAAAATACAATTGCTTGATAATGATAGCAATTATTTACAAGTAGAAAACTACAAATGAATGAAATTATTTCAAGTACAAGTATCCAAATACTAAGTTTTAACAATACTGGAGTATCAAATCACCATCTATTTATTTATTGAATAATCTTTACTTTAATTAGATTCGCTTAATATTATCGAACATTTATTGCTTGGAGGACAAACCGTTAATATTTTAGACCAGCTTCCACTGTGGCGGTGGCGTTCGCGGTAAAATGTAGCATGTGTTATTCCCAACCATAACCTACCCCTGTTTCAAATTTAATCCCGATCTTTGTAACCGTTTTGATGAGAAGAAGTAAACAACAAACAAATAAACTAATTGTAATATTTTTGACTTACGTAACTGTTCGAGGAACTCGACTAGTTTCAAGCCATGTTCTAGGTTCCTATTTATGAGCAGTTTTGCGACACGCGACACGGTGACCAGTCAGAGATCCTCGTCAAACAGTTATGTCGTAAGTAAGCCGAAAACATAATAATTAATATAGTATGTCTCACGAAAGTTTTGATATAAATAAATGAATATAAAACCTTTCGCATTTTAATAATATTAGTTAGATAGGATAATGTATCACTACGCACACAGTACATTAGGCACATAAGAGTATACACATACGCGGCACAAGTGTACATTTTTAGAGTACCATTCACTTTTCACCAGATATATGAGTCCCGTGTAATAAGTACCCGACTACGAGAATTTTCAAAAAACTGAAAGATAGTAAAACAGTAACATTGTTCTATTTTAGTTTCAAACTCAAATCTTCCTCTAGCGAGGCAAACATGCTACGAAATAAAATCAAAAACAAATAAACACCCGAACACTCAAATTCAAAACGTCCCCATTTTCAAAAGAGCAACAAAACATTAAATGCAATACAATTTCAACAAAAAAAAAAAGAAAGAAAAAACAAAATGGCGCAACAAGGAGGAACTCATTGCCAGTTTAAATACAACCTAGAGATAATAAAAATGATTCATTGCACCTAAGAAGTACTAAAACAGTACCTGCTTCTGTAATTAATGAACAGCAAGAGAATTATTGTGCAAACACAGTAAATAGTAATGCACAAGGGGACGGTTGTGCATTTTTTATAGCTCGATATTATAATTAAGAAGATTTGTGTGATTAGGAAGGGAGTGACATGCCTTTGTCAAAGGAGATGGGAATGACACTTACGTATGACAGCCCACGCACCTAGACCATTGACGAAAAACAAGTTAACGGATGACGTCACAAAATCCTAGATCGCACTTGTGAAGTTTACATGCGAATTAACACGTATAGAAAATCCAAACGAACAACTGTTGGGCAAAAAGCCCGCCAGACACGAACACCTCGCCTTTTCGGTGGTTCCTCTTTTTTCAATAAGATGATGTCTGATAGAAGTAAAATGGAGGAAGAACACGTATTTTGCCGATTTGTAATATAGGAGATTATCTAATGAAAAGAGGAGATTATGTAGAAGCAGCAGCAGTGAACTATGATGGTTTGTAGATGACCAGAATGAAGGAAAGGAATGAAAAAGGAATTTTACTAAATCACTTCGATATTATAAGTCTGTCAAACCTTTATGTAGACTGTGATTGGATATATTTAGTGGAAGTTAATATCAATAATATAAAATGAAGTGAGATTAAAATATAATGATACAAATAAATACACACAGAATAACAAATATCTCCAATACAACAATAGCATCGTACGATAAAAATCTCTAACACCAAAAAATAAACCATTAACATACTTTTATATCCAATATAAATATCGTGATACAATCCACTGAGTAAACCGACAAAACCACAATATCCTCCCTCAAATATTTATCGGAACCCGTAAAGATATCGTAAATACGACCTACAAGTTTCAATCTCGAAAAATAGGAGACGCTATCAAAATTTATATTTGCCACCATTAAAAAAGAAAAACGGTCACATAGGCATTACGTTTACAAATGGCGAGTATATTCCTATCATAGTAATATCATGGAACATCAGATCGTAAAAAGTAATTGGGTTGCCAGTAAAAAGGGGTTTTATTTTATGACCAACGAAAAAATATATGATAAACATACTAGCCTTTCTCGTCATAACAGCGGCGTGGATGTTGAAAGAATGGAAACGATTGGGGGCTTAGAAACGGGGGTGAGCGCACTTATTTATTGAGTCGGGTTGATAAGGATTTTACGATTGTTTGTGTAATATTCTATATGTACCTGTTTTATGAATGCCAAATCAGGCTTTAGGTTTTTATTAACTCTATCTCTTCTACTAAAATGTTAAAACATGATTACTTATCAAAGATCACTGTCATTACCTATATATATTTCAGTATATTTTTGAGAACTATCAAGTTTAGTCATGTCTTTTCGCTTTTTCTAATAACAATGGCAAACGTTTTTACGTAATATAAGACGGTTTTAAAATACAGTTAAATAGAACTGTTCAGATTTTATTATTTAAAATATTAATAAAACTTTCTGTTCTTTGTTACAAGGGTCTATAATATCCCAATCAGTGGACGAACGTAGGTGTAAAATTACATTATGAAACCTAGACTATACATTATCAATACGCGACCACATCTAGATTTCAATATCCGAGTGAAACAATAAACGAAGCCTACGTATTAAAGGAAGAAACATAATAATATTAATATTAATGCCGCATCCAGTATCTTTGTGTATGTGACCGGAATAGTAATTTCCTACTGACTTTTGGGATGACAATAATTTTTACATCGGTACAGAAAATACATTACTTTTGATCAATGTATTTTGTGTGTAATATAACTATGTAGCGGAATATAGTGTGTAGTAAAAGTATTTTATGTTGTACCTAAGCTTTTACCCGTGGCTTTGGCCGTAGTTTTAAAAATTTAAGTGTGGGAGAGCCATGCTTCGGTACGAATGGGCCGGCTCGACCGGAGTGATAGCACGGCCTCACTGAAAACCGACGTGAAGCAACGCTTGCGTTGTGTTTCGTCGTGTGAGTGAGGTTACCGGAGGCCCAATTACCCTCCCCTTACCCAATTTCCCCAATTCCTGAATCCCCAACGATCCTCAAACTCCTACACTTGTAATGCCTCTAGTGTTCCAGTAGTCCATGGGCGACGCCGATTGCTTACCATCAGATGATTCGTCCGCTCGTTTACCGGTTGCATGCAATGTTGTATGCAATAAAAAAAAATACAGAAGGGCTAGCAAAAATTATTCTTCTTCTTACGACCCTTTTCACAAGTTGGTTGAGGTCAACAGAATAACATACATTCATGCATGCCTGTTTCCCATGGGGGTAAGCGGAAACTATGGAATGCCAATTGCTACGATTCTTACATACTTCTTTCGCTCATGTCTGTCTTCATTCTTCCTATCAAACATCATCCTACGATAAATTCCTTTTTATGGCATTCTACATTTTTGGGAAATCTTGAGTTTTTCAACTATCCACATATTATAATTAACACTTTAAACGCCATGGGGGTCACCGGTGACCGACGTTAGCGGAGGATTTACCTTCAACAGTTTTTTATTGGCAGTCAAAGTCTTAATGTCAAACTATACGCTTTTAACGTAGAAAGGCGAAGAAATAGACACTCACGTTTAATATATTAAAAATATGGATATTAAAGACATTTTTTGGACCATGGAACGAATACTGTGGTGAAGAAATTTCTTAATGTTATCCTTATTGTGTGACGAAGTATGACGGATATCGTATGAAATATTGGTTACTGCTTTTACGATATTGTTCCCCTTACTAGAAGAATAAAATATTTACTACAATACAGAATGGAACGTATCAAAAAAGATTGTAATATTTTCCTTACCTATTTCTTTGAAATATATAGTTTAGTGTGAGTTAAGGTACTTCAAAATCTTTTGTTATAATAAATGTAAAAACTAGAATAATCTTTCGATTCAAATTTTAGTTACCTACTACTATTTTCGGTTCAGTCTCAAATATTTAAAGACAGCCTTTATTACTTAAAACTTTATGTAGAAATCGAATCACTGCACTGTTGGCGCGGTTTCGATTCCCGAACGGAAAAAATCTTTGTTTGATCCACAGATTGTTGTTCCGGGTCTGGATGTCACGTGTATGAGAACTTGTATGTTTGTAAACGCACCCACGACACAGGAGAAAATCCTAGTTGTGGGGCAACGTTTAAAAAACCAACATCGAGCCAGAGTCGAAATTAAATCAGTCTAAACGAATTTTACACAGAGAATTATAGTTCAAAATATAAAAAAAAAATTATAACAACAAAAATACATTAATGTGAAAACTTAATGCTAACCATAAAAAAATACTAACCAAAGTATAAAATCCAAGTATCGCTACAACAACATAAAGAAAAAACCAAAGCCATCAACATCACACAACATCCCATCGTACAGACAACACTAATCATTTTAACAATATCCACACAAAAATCGATGCGAACATAACCGTAGAAAAATTCATGGAAAATAGGCTATGCTTTTATAAAAGAGAAAACAAAAGCCTAAAGAAACTTTACTAGGGGTTGAAGATAGCAAATACCATCGGCTGGAATTTTATCTCAATATTTTATGAGGCAAAACTGAGGGGAACGCAATCGTTGTGAGCTAGGGAAAGTTTAGACGGAAGCTATTTACTTTACGAAAGCAAAACTTCTTATATTGGTATCTTGTATCTTCGTTTTGTAGAATTGTGTGTAAGTATTGGTAACATATGGTGTATTGATACTTGTAATAGGTTTAAGAGAACGAAGGAAATGGAATTGAAATGTATTTTGTTGTAATAGTTTCTTTAAGTAAAATCTTTAGTAATCCTACTACATAACATAACATAACATAGCATCACGCCTTTTACCCCCCGAAGGTGTAGGCAGAAGTACACAGAGGTAAAAAGATACATGAAATGAAGTATCAAAAAAGTCTCGTAGATAATGGAACCTTATTACAGGACTACAAAGAATAACCATTAACAATATTAAAGAAGATAATCAAAAGAAAATTATACCAAGCAAGACAACGAGCAATCAAAAATGAAATCTAAAGAAATAGCAAGAAACTCTAAAATCACAAAACAAATTTTCATAAGAATACGAAGATAGGTACTACAAAACAAAATCCATTTTTCACTCGAAACAGTTCTTAGCTGTTTCCAAAGAAAGACACGGGTTTTCTGGCAATGTCGAACAAGACTTGAATGCATAAGGAGATGAGAGGAGCATTGAGGGGGTTTGATGTTGGTTCCAAGTATTTTCCTAATTAGGCGAGGGTGAATTGTATATTGAACGTGTTTCATGGGGTTTTCTTATGGGAATTCATGTGTTTGGTAGCGGTATAAATTTCATTGTTGGTGTCAATTAAATGATGTGCAAATTTTGTTGTTTTGTCTTTACGATCGATACAATTTTCTTTAATATCGTTATTATTGTTTCTATCGCAACTATAAGAAAATCTAAATTTATAAGTCGATTTTTATTACTGAAAATTAGTAATAGTATAGAATATTATACTATATTTTTATAATAACTATCGTGAGACATATTAAATTAACTAAAAACGCGGGCTACTCACGTGAATATACTGAGAAAAGCTCTACTAGTTTCGAACCACAGAGGGGTTCTTCCTCATGAGCAGCGTGCGCGGTCGCAGTGACGTTGCGCAGCCCACAGTGAGCTGTCTACATGCCTACAAATCTACACTTAACCCCACAAAATTCAACAAAACTTCAGTACACCTCTTTAGTTAATTAAGGACAACGTTCATTCAGTTCCGAAAACAATGCAAATGATATTCAACGGACATCGTGGCCCTAATTCCACTGTCATAAATATATAAGCCATAAAAATACGACAGCATTTCTGGAAACAATTTTCATACTTCTAACGTCATTTGGTATTCTGTGAGTGTGGTCATATTTACTGCGCAAGCCTTTGCCAGTGCTAAATCTCTTCATGTTGCAAACGACGACACGTATCGCCCATCCGAGCCGGTGTCCAGTCCGTTTTGTCAATATTTTTTCGGGACTACCTACTGGATTTTTGTTTTCTTTCTTTGTTTGTTTTGTATTTTGTTGGTCATTTAGCTGGCTAACTTTTGCGTCTAGAAATTTTGGCGTTTATTTTATAGGTACCTTGTTTTATGGGATTTGGTTGTTCAGTCATTTTGTTTGACACTTCTTCTTTTACAGTTTTATCACCTGGTTTAATTTGTACTTTATGATCAAGTTCAATTCTTTTAATACCTAAACTTGTCCTTAGTACTTACCTCTATTTGTATGCTGGCAGCCCGGTACGCTCTGTCAGCGGTGTTCTGTGCTTGACACGTGAACGTTTGGTTGTGATGCTCCTGTTTTGGAGTCATCTTTATAATTGACCTGGTGGAACAACAGAAAGAGGTCATCATTAAGCAAAGACAAAGTTAGTTAATAGCATATTTGTTAAAGTAAGGCAAACCACTATTATTACTTATAAGGGTTATTATAATTTCGATAACTAATTAAATGAAAAAGAAAGGTTATATTATGTATAGTTTTTTTTTATAAAACGTTACCCCACACTAGATTTATCACCTGTGTCGTGGGTGCGTTTATAAACATACAAGTTCATATACACCCTGACTCGAAACAACAATTAGTGAATCACACAAAAAGTTGCTCCGAGCGGGAATAGAACCCGCTACACACTGCGCGGCTGCCAGCTACCCAGCCACCGTAACAACCAGTCCAGGTTGAGAAGAATATCTTGATATTTCATCAAATACAGCATACTGTCATACTAAATGTGCAAGAATATAAAGTTACGTTTGCCATCATGATTTAATTATAAGAAAAAACTCCAATAACTCACCTGGCTGTAAACCGTTGCCCATCAGGCATGGGCTCCACACTATAAGTGACGCCTTGAGTCAAAACACCAGCATTGCTATCAACCCACGTAATCTGAAACAAAGTATAAAGATATAAGAACAAAGCTATCAGGATGAGAACTATTTAAATGCAAAATACTCTTTTGAGAATATCTCGGGCATTGGAATTACAAAAGAAAAATATGGGTTTATAGAACCGTGTATAACTTTGTAAGGAAATGTGCGCTCAATTTTGCTTGAGCTTCTTTCATTTTTATGCGAGTTTTTAAAGGAAAGAGTTGGATTATGTTATGTTATGTTTGATATATGAAATGGATTCAATATTAGTTTTCTAACGTTTGTGTGTTTTGCATCTTTATTTTGACGTGACAACGTCTTAAATTAGGTTGCGGCTGGGAGTCACTTATGAAAAAGTGTAACGCTCGGTAACGTTACGATGAGTCACCGAACGAGAGAGAGGCCCGCCGAATGCCTTGCGTCTCTCTCCCACTCAACTATGATCGGTCTGCCGCGCGCGCAGCACTAGTTCATTCAATCCCTTGTTCCTATTGTGCAATTTAATTATATTCATATCAATAAATATTCTACCGAGAAAAAGACGTTGTCACGTAAAATCTTCGCCCGTAAAAACGACTTTACAGGCAACCATTTTTTATCAGCATTATCATTAGCCTTGTCATCAGTCCGCTTCTATTCAATGCTGAATTTATTTTTAACGTTTTCATACTTAGTCAAAAATAATGCAAAGTGTTAGATATTACACCTACTTTTACAAAACGTCTACCTAGCCTAAGTCTACTCTTTGAGTCATGACAAAGATCTTATAATTATACAATTTCATTCTCTGTTGATATATCTAACAAAATTTCAACAACGCATTCTAAACCGAAAATTCCACCCATAATTAATGATTAAAAGAAAATTTCTAATAAAGAAAAGCTAAAATAAAATATTTTAATCAGTCTAAATCATAATTTTAATTAAGAAACGTGGATACAAAAGGAGAGAGGAACTCAATCCAAAAATTACAAACTCACATCAATTATGGAAGATGATTAAAATCCCTCGGCAAATAATTTCCGCATTTCAGATTTCCGTACCTCATCAGAAAATCTGTAATATCTAATATTACTTTAACTAATTCTAATCCTTTACAACGAAGCATAATATAGATAGAATCATTACTTTTGTTCTTGTCGGTCGGTGAAGATATATAATAACATATTTTTGTCTATTTTGGGGGAAATGGTTTTACTGATTCATTATTATCTTGATCAAAAAGTATTCATCATTATTAAAGGACAAATAATATTGAGCTCTAATCAGAATTTCGAGAATTCTTATTGGGTTTTATTAGCCTATGACCGATTAATTCATCAATAATAATTTTGAACACAAAATAGCAAAATGGTCATGGTATGGCCACAATTTGTCGCGGAGAACCTGTGGGTTACCGGGGCTCCGGCTTGAAGCGAAGAGAAGGAACGGAAATATTTTTATTCAGCAAGAGTCTGACACTCCCTCCCGCCTCACCCAAGCGGGAGCAGTCTCTCGATGATTTTCCCTCTTTAAAAAAATGGCTACAATTTCAGATTTTACAACAGTGTCTAAAACACAGCACTAAATAGCCTAATTCAAACATGTTCGTACATATTTATTAAATACTATAGTCGATCTTACATCTAGAAATTAATTATAAAATATTTTGTCGTTATACAAACAGAATTCCTGGGCAGACTTGAACATGATTTTCAATTTAGCTCCTAATTGTACGCGATCTCTCGGGATACCCATTCACTCCGAGGAGAGCTTCAATGGAATATTCTCTGGCAAATACAGAGACAAACAGATTGATATAGAACTTTCAATGGAGAATAATGACTACATTTTCAATGTCCAAGGTTTGGTTAAAAACATTGGACAAATATTTTTTAGGAATCTGTGTAGTACGTATAAATGCTTTTGACGATACAAGATTTGATTTCCATACTATACGACATTCAATAAGTTCGTATGACTACTGTGATATTTTTTAAACTGAAATTAACGATAATTTTCAAGCATACCTTCCTGTCCTGAATTCAGGAATTGAACCCGAGCTAACTCGGTAATAGGGTAGTTGCCTAACTTGTGCATTAATTTAAAACTTTAGGTGACACGTATTTTTTATATTAATTTGAAATATCGCTTGACGTCACAGCATGCCACATTTTGTAGCACGTTATGACGTAACGACCTCCCACTTCTAAACTTAGCGCCGTTTTATCTAAGTATTGCAACTTAACTCGTTGAGTACTGTCATTATAGACACAATTAAAGAACTATAGGTTGTGGTCACCGGTGTCCGTCCGTTGGTGTTTGACAGTTTAATGCGAGAAATTAAAAAAATATGTGTCTATTATTTTTTCATTATCTAACTGACGGACTAATTAGCTTTTTAATTTTGATATCCTGGAAACTACCCAATCGCGTATGTGACTTTGCTAACAATTAACAATGAGATCTTAAAGATAGAAAATAGAAAAGAGCCTAATTACCTGTACTATGAAATAATAATTGTACAAAATTGTGATCGTATTTTATAAAAATCTTCTTTAACAAAAATAAGGAAAACTGTCCATATTGCGTCATATTTTAACAAATGAATGTATCCTTCACAAACAAAAGGCGATCTACAAATGACAAAATCTTACTTAGACACAATGAAAACTGTCAATGAAGTGGTAACGATAAACCCGTCTATTCCTTGTGAAGTATGCATGCATTCGTCATATGACGCAAGATGGACAGTCACCCTTTAGCATTCTAAATACCCGCATACGAATATCGATAGGCATTTTTTGAAGTGGGGAAAATCATCGAATTACTGCTCCCGCCTGGGTGAGGCGGGAGGGAGTGCCAGACTCTTACTGACTAAAAACCACCCCGTTCCTACTCCTGCACTTCGAGTCTGAGCCCCGGTAATCCGTTAGGTTCTCCGCGACTCCGTTTCGGCATTAGCCCTATTGGGCCCCATCCTTGGTGGTCTGATGAACGATGAACGCAACGCGCCGCACGCTCGGGTCGATAGCCATACAACGATTAATTTGTCAATGCAATTAAAGTATTAATTCACTAACAATTTGTGCTGAATTTCATTTAATAACGATACACTGAGCTATTAATTTTCGAAACTAACACCGGTTATGTAATCCAAGCCTTAATTTGCAATGCACTGTTCGCGCTTACAACTACACTGGTACAAATTTGTATCAATATTAATTCTGATTGCAATAACTCTATTGAAATTTTGCTTGGTATACATATACAAATTTCATTTTTAACTGTCCAATCCCCAAGTGGTCACCGGTGGAGTTATTTCCGATGTTTAGAGAATACTTTTGTATGAACAAATTTTGGGGATTCTCGGTACCATATATTAACATATCAAATTAAAGAAGGATTTTCGAAACAAATTCAAATACTTTGTCATAAGACGTTATTTTTATTGTTACGTGAACAACAGCGTGGCAGTTCACTACAGTCCTGACCTGTCTATGGGCCTCCTCTACGTAAAATGGTTTCTAAAAGAACAGCAACTAAGAGAATGGTAGTAAACCATGGGTGTGGCAGAAGAAGCATGAAATCAGGATTAATGCGGTGGAAATGAGAGCCATCGAGAGTGATCGAGTGAAAAATAGTGTTATTAGAGTAACGAAAGAAGTATACACAGCGGATATGAATGGGGCAGTCGGTAGAGGGTGCCCTAGACGTGTATATACTGACCATATTGGCGATATATTAAAGTAGGGCCAAATAAAAAGTACCCTTAATCCTTAACCATGAAAAGATTGATGACCGTTGATGAAGCGAAAGAGGTTTGTAGGAAGCGTAGCAATTGTCATTCCATAGTGTCTGACTACCCCCATGGGAGACAGGCGTGAAGTTATGTATGTATGTAGCAACAAAAATAAAGGTATGCTTTGACAAAAATGAATTTGCGTGCCACAAATGCAAATTAAACAAGAACACAGTTCTATGATAGGTACGTTCTATTGTTCGTAAACTAAACATCATTCATACAACTAGATCAACTGTCAAATATCTCCCCAGCTCTATTCAAAAACTCGTCTGCACTTTACCTACATCGCAACAAATCGTGCGTACTCTTCACAAATTGAGCACAATTTTTCATGAACACAATTCACATCGAGCTATGCAAAACCAGTATATACTGGCCGATGAATGTTCGGAAGGATCATGCGAAGCGAGAGCTTGATATACTGGTTCTGTATAGCTTGGTGTGCAGCCATGTGCATTCGTACCGTTTCCGATAATACTTCATACTTTAGTAGGTACTTCCCCTGCACCTGCTTTCTGAATTCCACTCTGTGTGTAAATAGGTCAGAATTTTCTACGGTACTTTTGCAGTCAGGAGTAAAAATGTTATCTGGTCTATTTTGCGTTTTGATACGATTTTAGTTGATACGTCGAGTTTTTTAATGTGACAACCAAACGACCTATTGTGAAACTGTATCCTTCAATCACCATTAAAAATCAACATATTTTGATGGTGAACTGCCTCTTTGGCCGAGTGGTCGTAAGTGCGACTTGTGCCGGGCTAGGTGTCTCGGGTTTGATTCCCGGGTCGAAAAATGTATGTATCACGGAGTCTGGAATTCTGCCCGGTATATATGGCAATAGGCTCACCCCCTATTACATGAGACTCATAACATAAATAGTGAAAAGTGGGTGTTACATTGTACAGTGGTATAATGTGCGTCTCTGCCTACCCTTTCGGGGATAAAAGGTGTGATGTTATGATATGTTATGTTATATTTTGATGGTATATCTACATCTTCAACAACCCTGGACTGTTGGTGACTGATTGCTGCATTATAGAACTCCTCAATATACGGAGGTTTCTACATAACCTCTTTGCTTGGCAGGGTCAGTTAAGTAATTAAAGAGTTTTCCAATTAAAAGTACATTATGTAAATAGACTAGATACTATTTTTACTCATAAATCTTGCAAATACATTAGGAGCATAATTTAAAAAGAAATCCATAGTAAATAACGATATCATTACTGTAATGTGATTTATGAACGTAATTTTCGGGACAAACAAACAAGTTTACAAAAAACTTTAGAAATAAAATTGGCTGAATTTTTTTAAAAGCATCAGCACTTTTAGGGCGAAGTTTAACTTCTTTAGCAGTCTAGAAAATGTCATTAAGTAAATTAATGACTTAGAACCTGTATAAAAGGCGATAGAAACCATATATTGGCTATATTTTAGTTTGAGCAAAGACTTGAACACAACAACAAGTGTGGGAGAGCCATGCTTCCGCACGAATGGGCCGGCTCGACCGGAGTGATACCACGGCCTCACAGAAAACCGACGTGAAGCAACGCTTGCGTTGTGTTTCGTCGTGTGAGTGAGGTTACCGGAGGCCCAATTACCCTCCCCTTCCCCAATCTCCCCAATTCCTGAATCCCCAACGATCCTCAAACTCCTAATCCCCAAAAGGCCGGTAACGCACTTGTAACGCCTCTGGTGTTCCAGGTGTCCATGGGCGACGCCGATTGCTTACCATCAGGTGATCCGTCTGCTCGTTTACCGGCTTATGCCATAAAAAAAA